GTGAATAGCTTTGTACCATGTGACCTCTGTGATCATTCACAAATTTCACAAGTAGTAAGCAGGTGGCGGACTGACAACTCATGGGGCCCCCAGGCAATAGGGGATCATGGGGCCCCTGTGTCCTTGCTCAAACTCAAAAAAGCCTATGAAAGAGGTACCAGGGGCATCTCATGGGGCCCCCTACTGACCCCAGGCCCTCGGGCAGTGCCGAGTTTCCAAATGGTCATTCCGCCCCTGATAGTAAGTAATGATGTCAGGAAGTGACATCTTGATTACTACTGTCCATGTGATCACTGATTGACCAATCAGTGATCACATGAATCAGGACCTCACACAGAGGTCCCGTACAGCAATCTGTGCAGTGCCGCGCTCGCCCAGGGAGCGCGCACAAGCAATGGATGTGGGTGGGGAGGTTTAGTAAGGTCCATCTGCATTGGCAGCGCTCCTGTCCATTTATCGATATGAGCCGGACGGGAAGAGGTTAAAGAATATGTAAGCCCAACATTTCTTATTGCTGATATGTGCCTGCTGTACCATGTACTTGTATGAAAAAGTACCCCGTTTCTCTTTGTATTGCTTTCTTTGTGTGAAATCCCTGGTGTTCCTGCGAGTCCCTGTGGTTTTCCTATTAAACACTGACCACACTAGGCATGAGAGCACAGCGTGGTCAGTTTTTCTAGCTTTGCTGAGACCTCAGTCTGCTCTCCTCCAATAATCAGACTTATTATCTTGACACCCCCCCCATCCCCGACAGCCTTTCAATGGGAAGACCAGTGTTCTGCTGTTTCTCCTCCCCTAGTTCTCTGAGCTCCTTAAGCAGCTAAGAACAGGGGATATGTGTTCACTTATAAAAAGGGAAATGAAGGTGTTTAAAATGTTTTTTTATATCTGTACACAAAGGTTTTGCCTTTCATTTCTACGTTAAACTAAATGGGTTGTTTTACAAAGTGAGGGTTTACATGTACTTTAAGGCTTGTTTAGACTTGCAGTTGGGGACATTGAAAATGAGAGGTTGAGTTGGTGAATTTTAGCACACACCCCCCACCTCCCAACTGCTCCCCCTTAAGCTGCAAAGGAAGAAGACAGTTGTGTTCACCTGCCGCTGATGCAAGTCTTTGCTTTGTGTCCGAGGCAAAAACTATCACTCTTCAAATGCGACCCATTCAAGAAAATGGGGAAGCATTGTAAAAGTATGCTATTGCGACCTGTTGGGTGGCAATTACGGGGTTAAAATAGGTGGTGAGAAGGCGCCACATCGCTATCAAACATAAATCGCTTTTCAGAAGTCTATTAAATATTAATAGGGTGTATTGAATAATATTGTATGAAAAAAAAAAGCGAGAATTAATCATTACATATTAAATATGAATAGTGTATATTACATATTGTATTATATTGAATAAAAAATATTGTATTAAATATTATATTCGAATGCACTAAACTATTGTATAATATTAATATTTTATCACCCATATTATATTGGATATTAAATATTGTATTTTAAATGTTTCACATTAATAGTATAAATTAAATATATTATATTGTATAATAAAAGCATTGTACTGCTAAACACTGTATTTTTTATTCAAGTGGACTAAATTATTGTATGTTAAATATTAATAGTTTATATTAAATATTGTATAATAAATATTGTATTATTGCATTTCAAAGAGACTAAAATATTGAAATACTGTAGACAATCCACAACAGAGAGATCCCTATTATATTGGAACATTGTTAATTGATATTCCAGGTGGGGAATAGATCTCTACTGTGGTGTTGCAAGTACATGAAATAATAATTATTGTTGTTTATAGTATTGATTTACAGATTTTGAAATGCTACTTACAGGTTTGAAGTTCATGATCCCAGTGTGAACAAGCTGAAATGTGAGCTGAAGAACCAGCCATACCACACCTGTGGACCATTCCCCTTTATTAGCAAGCTGAAGGGAAGAAAAAAAAAAGTGCTATTTGAAAAGTGATAGAAAATGAGAGCAATAAAAAGTGTATTAGAAAGCTGATAGATTGGCCTCATGCACAGGGGCAGTTCGGAGTTCTCAGGCACCTGGGGGGGCACAGGTACAGTGTCCAGTTTGGCTGCCAGCAGCCTGCAAAATCTATGACATATATGCTGCGGATGGGTGCTGTACCAAACGGTATTTGAGTTTATGACTGTGTGTTCAGGGGCATATGCCAGAAACCAAGGAGGGCAGCTGTCAGGGGGCAATATGGGTCAGAATGTTTTAACCCTGAAAAGCGTCATACACATACACATTGCATGCATTTGCAGCATGGCCCTATTCACTTGAATGGGTTGAGTTTGGCACTGGCACTACCTGCCAAATGCGGCATGGGGTGTGAATTTCGGAAAGCATCTCAGTCACAGTATGTGACCAAACCCCCTCTAGCCATTGTTTAAGGTTAAGGGGGGTGGTCAGGAGGCAGTAAAACTGCAGCTTAACCACCCATTTTTATCGCCATCCTGGCCACAAGTGTGACAAGTAAGGGCTCGTTCACACTTGGCTGTTTTACCAACACTTGCCAAACGCCCCCATTGCGTTTGGCAAGCGTTGATCCGGCGTTTGTGGAGCGTTTTTTAACGCTCGGCAAACGCTCTGCAAACGTTGCATGCGCGGTTTAGCGGCGGTTGCTAGGCGTTTGCCGAGCGTTAATAACGCCCCACAAACGCCTATAATGCAGTTTGTGTGGTGTTACCGCTCCGCATAGACTAGAATAGGAGGCTTCCACGGCTTCCACTACCGGCACCATAGACTAGAATAGGAGGCTTCAACGCCTCCTGACTTGACCAGAGGCGTCTGTTTTGCCGCAACGCGACGCAAACGCTCCTGTTAGAACAGCACCATGTGCTGTAATGTGCAGAATTGGCAGAGGCGTTTGGGAAGCGGTAAAAACGCTTCCCAAACGCCTCTCTGCCGCCTGCACACAACGCTAGTGTGAACGTAGCCTAAGATTGCCACCTCTTCTCTTTAAAACTGAACACCTATTAATTACACAGGTTATGTGGCTGATTAACATAATTAACCGCTTCCATGCCACCCTATAGCAGAAATACTACTGCAGGGCGGCACGGTGTGCAAAATCACACACACACACACATATATATATATATATATATATATATATATATATATATATATATATATATATACACAGTTGCAAGAAAAAGTATGTGAACCCCTTGGGATTACGTGGAGTTTTGCATGAATTGGGCATAAAATGTGCTCTGAACGTCATCTAAGTCACAACAATAGAAGAACACAGTCTGCTGAACATAATACTTCACAAACATTAGATGTTGCCATGGTTTAATTGCACATAACATGTGAACATTCACAGTGCAGGGAGGAAAAAGTATGTAAACCTTTGGACTTAATAACTGGTTGACCCTCCTTTGGCAGCAATAACCTCAACCAAACGTTTCCTGTAGTTGCAGATCAGACCTGCACAACGATCTGGAGTAATTTTGGACCACTCCTCTTCACAAAACTGTTTCAGTGTAGCAATATTCTTGGGATGTCTGGTGTGAATCGCTCTCTTAAGGTCATGCCACAGCATTTCAATCGGGTTCAGGTCAGGACTCTGACTGGGCCACTCCAGAGGGCGTATTCTGTGCTGTTGCAGCCATTGTTTTGTTGAATTACTTTTATGCTTTGGGTCATTGTCCTGTTGCATCACCCATCCTCTGCGGAGCTTCAGTTGGCGGACAGATGGTCGTACGTTTTCCTGCAAAATGTCTTGATAAACTCTGGAATTCATTTTCCCATCAATGACAACAATCCGTCCAGGCCCTGAGGCAGCAAAGCAGCCCCAAACCATGATGCTCCCTCCGCCATGTTTTACAGTGGGGATGAGGTTTTTGATGTTGGTGTGCTGTGCCTTTTTTTTTCTCCACACATAGTGTTGTGTGTTCTTCCCAAACAACTCAATCTTGGTTTCATCTGTCCACAGTATATTTTTGCCAGTAGTGCTGTGGAACATCCAGGTGCTCTTTTGCAAACTTCAAACGTGCTGCAATATTCTTTTTGGACAGCAATGGCTTCCTCCGTGGTGTCCTCCCATGTACTCCATTCTTGTTTAATGTTTTCCTTATTGTAGATGTGTCAACAAAAATGTTAGCATGTGCCAGAGATTTCTGTAGGTCTTTAGCTGACACTCTGGGATTCTTCTTTACCTCATGCAGCATTCTGCGCTGTGCTCTTGCAGTCATTTTTACAGGACGACCACGCCTAGGGAGAGTAGCAACAGTGCTAAACTTTCTCCATTTGTAGACAGTCTGTCTTACCGTGGACACATGAACATCAAGGCTTTAGAGATACTTTTGTAACCCTTTCCAGCTTCATGCAAGTCAACAATTCTTGATCGTAGGCCTTCTGAGAGCTCTTTTCTGCGAGGCATGGTTCACATCAGACATTGCTTCTTGAAACCAGTAAAGCCAAAACAGGTGTGTGTTTTTTTAAGGGCAGGACAGCTGTCAGCAACACATCCAATATCATCACACTGATTGGAGTCAAGGTTGGCTCACTCCTGGCTCCAATTAACTCTGGGAGAAGTCATTAAGCTAGGGCCTCACATACTTTTTCCTCCCTGCACTGTGAATGTTTACATGTTATGTGCAATTAAACCATGGCAACATCTAATGTTTGTGTAGTATTATGTTCAGCAGACTGTGTTCTTCTATTGTTGTGACTTAGATGACGTTCAGAGCACATTTTATGCCCAATTCATGCAAAACTCCACGTAATCCCAAGGGGTTCACATACTTTTTCTTGCAACTGTATATGTGTGTGTGTGTGTGTGTGTGATGGCACAGGTAGGACGTGCACCCCTACCCAGAACTGCAAACTCACGTGTGTGCAGGGGCGGACTGACAACTCATGGGGCCCCCCCAGACAATAGGGTATCATGGGGCCCTGTGTCCTCACCCACACCCGAAAAACCTATGAAAAAGCCAATAAAAAGTTACCAGGGGTATCTCATGGGGCCCCCTACTGACCCCGGACAGTGCCCGAGTGCTCGAATGGTCAGTCCGCCCCTGCATGTGTGTATATATATAGATAGATATACACAATTTTGCAGTTCCGGCGCGCGCCCTACCTGTGCTGTCATTCACGGCATCTACCGTCAATCACCGGGTCCGATTGACTGGAGGGTTATATACTGATTTGTTTGCTAATGTACACTTCCCTTACATTACTCTGTCTAATAGTACTAGTAGTATTCGCTGTGGGATTAGAGAACATTTTATTTACATTTAGTGCTGGCTCACACTGATGCGAATTCTTTGCGGATCAGATGCGATCCGAAAAGCGTAGATTTGCATGCAATCTATAAAAGCATTTGTTTCCAATGCAGGCTGTTCACATATGTGCGGTGCAAATTTGATCCGGTCCAAAAAAGGGTCCTGTGTGGGTTTAGTATGGGGGTGTGGTGCGAATTTCATCTCCTGCTATGCCCAGTGCGTATTCTTTGCGGATCAGATGCAATCAGAAAAGCATAGATTTGCATGTAATCTACAAAAGCATTATTTCCAATGCAGGCTGTGCACATATATGCGGTGCAAATTTGATCTAGTCCAAAAAAGGGTCCTGTGCGGGTTTAGTGCGGGTGTGCTGTAAATTTCATCTGTTGCTATGCCCAGTCCCCTCAGAATTCACATTCAATTCGCATCTGTCACAGCAGAAATTGCACTGTGATGCCACACTGTGAAACCGCATCAGATTTGCACCGCATTGGTGTGAACTGGCACTCGGGGAGATTTACTAAAACTGGAGCACACAGAATCTGGTGCAGCTGTGCACAGTAACCAATCAGCTTCTAACTTCAGAATGTTCAATTACACTTTGTCAATAAGGCTTGGTTCACATCTGTGAGGGTGATGCCGCTGTGAATCTGCACGAAAATCCATGCAACCGCACCACCCACAGGAATGCGGACTTGCGGGTGGGTGCCATTATTTCTGTATTATGTCCATTATTGCACTGGAAAATGCAACCGTACTGGGAACCGAGGTTCCCGCGCGGGCTGCGTTTTCAGAAGAAGTGCAGGGACTTCTTCCCTGCATGTCACAGGGCACGGAAGTCCATTCAAATGAATGGGTTCTCATGCCCACGCAAAATGTGGCCCGCACGGCCGCATAGATGTGAACTAAGGGTAACACCTGGAAGCTGATTGGTTTCTATGCAGAGCTGCACCAGATTTTGCACTCAGCAGTTTTAGTAGATCTCTCCTTTAAGTGATCTAATATACATCTGAATTCCCACATAAGTATTAAGCATATACACATTTTTTTCTTGGGGACGTATAATGGATCTCTTCCAGCACCAGCAGTTCGTCCTTAAAGAGTGACTCAACTTTTGTTATGAAGTTATAGGTGATCAATGGACATCACAAAGATTTTACCAGACTTTGTAGCAGTCTTACCTTTGCTCTGAAGAGGATGTGTGTTCCTTCCACTGTGTCCTTGCATGACTGATTCCTGAATGGGAGAGCCTTGTTCACTACAACCACCTGGTGCACTTTCAGTGTTCTAAGGAGAAAGGCTGCAGGGGGTCTGCATCCCTTTAGAAATAATTAATCCTTAGGTAGTATAGCAGCAAAAAATAAAATTCCTTTTTCAGGGCATGCCTAAAATATTACTTGTACCGTAATGTAGAAAATCAGTGAGCCAATCACACAAGCAGATGATGACATTTCTGGGACATTCTCTACAACTATGTATAGAACTCCTCCACGGTTCTGGGAATTTTTCACAATCTTATATAATTACAGCAGCTTTGGATTGACATTGAAAGGAAATTTTTAAAAACATTAAATCACAAAATATCTTGTGTGGCAATTTTATTATTTTGAAAGTGGACCGGTTCATACCAGAATCACACAGAAATGCTGCCCGTGTTCCAGTGCGATTCCTGTGTGTTCCTCTGCAGTTCAAATCATATCAGAATACTCAAAAAGTAGTGCGTGTGCAACTTTTGAAAAACGCGTCACACCAAATCGCCTGCATGCTGCGGTATCGTGTGCACTGCGTTGTATTGGCACCCATAGCAGATTACAAAGGCAGCGCATTTTGAACACCTTACACGCACCGTGTTCTGGGGTGACCTGGTTCTAATACTGTTTTTGAGTTTATGGACTGCTCTACATCCTCTTTTTTGTAGGGGACCACACCTTTTGTTCTTTCCATCCTGTATTTCTTTCCTTGTTCAAAGGGGTTATTCAATGTACCACCTTAACCCCCAAAAAGCTGTAAGATCCTGTTCTCTTCTCTTTCTTCCCTTAAAGGGGAACTGAATATGTACGGGGATCCTAAGTCTGGTCTATTGAATCATATCGCTGCTAATGCCAATACCTAACCCCTGAGTGGGAGAAAGCCTTTCATGACCTTCTCTTTATATGGCGTCCATCTTTTAGAGCGATATTAAACCCAAAAACAAAAATATAATATATTGCAGTGACCTTTGTCATTGGCTCCCTCCCACCCCCGATCTCCATCACTGGCTCCCCTGGCCCCCGTCATTGGCCCCCCCACCCCCCGACCTTCATCTCTGGCTCCCCTCAACCCCCGACCTCTGTCACTGCCCCCCCTAGCCCCAACCTCCGTCAATAGTTCCCCCACCCCACAAACTCTGTCAATGGCTCCCCCACCCCCCAACCTTTGTCACTGGCTCCCCTAGCTCCCTATCTCCTTTATCGGCTCCTCCAGCCCTCGACCTCCCTAACTGGTTCCCCACAGCCCTGACCTTCATCACTGGCTCCCCTCAACCCCCGACCTCTGTCACTGCCCCCCCCCAGCCCCAACCACCGTCAATAGTTCTCCCACCCCACGAACTCTGTCAATGGCTCCCCCAACCTTTGTCACTGGCTCCCCTAGCTCCCTATCTGCATTATCAGCTCCTCCAGCCCTGACCTCCCTCACTGGTTCCCCACAGCCCCGACCTTAGTCACTGTCTCCGCTCCCCCCCGGACTTCCATCAATGATTCCCCTGGCCCCTGACCTCTGTCACTGGCTCCCCTGGCCCCCGACCTGCTTTACTGGCCCCCCTGACCCCCAACCTCCTTTTCTGGCTCCCCCAACCCCCATCACTGGCTCCCCCATCCCCCAACCTCCGTCATTGGCTCCCCTAACCCCCTACCTCCGTCACTGCCTCCCCCAGCCCCTGACCTCCATCACTGGCTCCCCTGTCCCCCAACCTCTGTCACTGGCTCTCCCAGCCCCAACCTCTGTCAATGGCTCCCCTACCCCTGACCTCTGTCATTGCCTCCCCTGGCCCCCTAACTCCATCATTGGCTCCCCCACCCCCTGACCTCCATCACTGGCTCCCCTCAACCCCCATCACCGGCTCCACCACCCCCAACCTCCGTCACTGACTCCTCCAGCCCCTGTCCTCCACAATTGGCTCCCCTGGCCCCCTATCTGCTGTCACTGGCTCTGCCAACCCCAACCTCCATGAAAGGTTCCCCCACCCCACGACCTCTGTCAATGGCTTCCCCACCCCCCAACCTCCATCATTGGCTTCCCAAGCCCCTGACCTCCGTCACTGGCTCCCCCTCCTCCAGTCTCTATTATTGGCTCCCCTACCCTGATCGCCATTATTTCTCTCCACTAATGTCCCCCCCCCCCCACCCCCAGCCTGGATCTGAGCTCCAATATTCCCAGCCCTGATCTCCACTCTTTTCACCCAAAGGTGCCATATCTGATTTTGGCCAAGTCTTATATGTGGTGGCTGTATTGATTTTCTTGTTTTTTTTTTAAACCCTTTTATTTTAACCTGGTGATCCAGCCAGTAAGTCTTTTATTTATCAACTTCCTTTAACAGACCAAGCTGTCCAGCAAAAATGACAGAGGATTGAGATAAACAATTTACCGCTGACAGGGCTGCTTACAATGATCATCTATTCATATACATATGTAAAACCTTTTTTTGCAAAAGGAAAAAAAAAAGTTTTTTGTAGTTGCTTAAAAAGGCGATAGTTGGAGTTAATGTAATTTTATAGCCCCTCTGTAAGGAGTGTTCCGTGTCTCTTATGTAAAGTGTTAGCTGGAGTACATTTCAATTTATTAGTCTCTTACGTAAAGTCCTTCTGAATCTATTAGTCCATCTAACACTTCCCTCTCCATAGGGTGACAATGCTGCTCTCCAAGGGTGGCTACATTGCTCCTGCATAGATACAATGCATGAATGATTGTACGTAGCCATCCTATGATAGGACGTGTGTTACCGACTGAATCACCAAGGCAAAATAAAGGGAAAACAAACATAACAAAGAACACTAATGAAGTCACCACATCTCAGGATTGGAAAGCTGCAATATATTACATTTTTGATTTTGGGTTTGGCTACCCTTTAAGGTGAAAGTCGAGACAAACACATAGGCTAGGTTCACACCTATGCAGTTAGTGTTCCAGCCGTTTCTGCATTGCATTTTGTGTTTTTGCACTTGCGTTTTTGACGCGGTTTTTCCACATTTGTGATGCATTTTGTGAATTTTTTTATTTTTCTTGTTGCTAGGCAAATTTAAAATGCAAAACGCAGAAAAAAAAAACGCACTACATGCTTTTCTGCAGCCTTTCCATTGAAGTCTATAGAACCAAAAACGCAACTTTTGGCTTTCAATAAAGTCCCTGACCATTTCCAAAAAAGGCACCAGGTGAAAACACAGAGATGTGAACATGTCCCATAGGAAATCATGTTAAATGGACTGTACTGCATTTCTGCAAAATGCAAAACACTGCAGAAAACGCTTAGGTGTGAACCTAGGGTAAGGGTGTGTGGGTGGCAAGACATGAAGCCCGGGTTCACACTGATGTGGAATTCGCACCGGTTCTTCTATGCGATTTCTGCACTGCATCATGATTGCACCCCATTCATGCGAACCGCTGCGGGGGCGTGTATGTTAACGACACCCTTAAATTGCTTCGCAAAATATGGTGCGATGTGCAGAATCGGATCGCATGGGTGCGAATATCCATGAGATCCAATTCTGGTGCTATAAAAAAAAGGGTCCTGCACTATTTTCGTGCGAATGCGGTGCGATCTGAGGCGTACAAAATGTATGTCTCAAATCGCACAGCACAGAAATCGCATGTGATTTGCACAGGAATGCAGAGCGGTTCTTGCATGAATCACATGCGATGTGCCGCACCGCATCAGTGTGAACCCAAAAAATTAAAAAAATTGTGCAGAGCTATTTGTCTTGAGAAACTACATGTACATTTATTTTGTGTGAATGTTGTTAAAGTGGAATGTTACTAGGCTATTTTCTCTCCAGGTCTGCGAGTGGAGGTTGATGGCAGTTCATGTTAAACACTCCAGGGGATGTTTAGGCAAATCAAAGGAAAGTGCATGCCGATGTAAGCAATATTGTCATGTACTATTGGATTCCTGATCAGCGTCGTCACCCCTGTATCTGCTACTCTACAAGCGTGACAACAATGACTGACACTTCAAAAGAACTATAGCAGCGTTGTCATCCAATTATAGACAGCACCATATAACTATAGGTTCTGGAACAATCAACAGCTCACACAGACATACCCGTGGATATAACAGGGAAAAAACTTTAAAGTGTAACTCCACTTTTGTGCAGAAAAAAACACTCCCCCTCTGGGCGACCTATATACATTGCAAGGATTTTAACCAATATTTTTTAGTGCTGTGATAGTTTGACTGACAATTACTTGGTCATGCAAGACCGTACCCAAATTCATTTTTATATAATTTTTTTTGAGAAACACAGAACTTTTGGTTTTTAATAACCACTTTTTTTATTTTTTCCTATATAGAAAACAAATTTTGCTTACTTACTAGTATACAAAATATCAAATAAAATGTCAGGACAGTTTAACACCCCTAAAATGATCCCCTTTTGGTGGATAGACACGCCAAGGGGATCTAATTTTTTGCCACAATTTTTGAAATGAAGAAACATGCTGGTTTGAAGTGGTTTATAAAGGCACAGTTTAAGTAGTCCAAACTTTCAAACAGGGGTGGACTGACAACCCATGGGGCCCCCGGGCAATAGGGGATCATGGGGCCCCTGTGTCCTTGCCCAAACTCAAAAAAGCCTATGAAAAAGGTACCAGGGGCATCTTATGGGGCCCCCTACTGACCCCGGGCCCTCAGGCAGTGCCCGAGTTTCCAAATGGTCAGTCCGCCCCTGATTTCAAAGCACTCCTAGAATGTGTGTGGTCATACTTTTTAAGCAATAGGCGTAATTCACAAAGCTTTAAGGTGGACCTTCCCTCCCCTCACTAAAAATCACGTCAGCATCTTACATTTATAAGTTACTCACAATTAGTGTTTTTCCACTTCCTGGTTGAGTGAGACACTGGTGATATAGTTCCTGGCCTCACAGATGTATCCTGGGAAGGCTACATCTCCAGTGCCTTCCCCCTCAGATGATGCAAGTTCCTGGAGGCAGATGCAGAGTTCCAGGAAGTTAAAGGAGATGGATTCATCTGATTTTAGTGAAAAATGGCCACAGTGAGATGAATGGGTAGGAAAAGAAAAATAAGGTATGCAAAGAATAAAAAGCCTACAAATTATCTATAAGAATCTGTTACTGCTGTTCCTAAATGTTTGTAAAGGTGCCATTGTTGTCATTTTTAAGGTAAGGTGAAGTTCCTCTTTAACATTAGACTGAGCTCTCTAATTTAGCCATGTTTTCGAATCTTATTGGACTGAACTGAAAATCCTGGTGTCTTAGCTTTGTGAATTAGGCCTATTGTGTTTGTTGTTGTCACCTCCACCCTCATGTAGCAGAGGCAAGCTAGATCAAAGTGGAACAACCATCCCTATATAGGGGTGGGGCCTTTGACAAAATCTATTACGCATATTTAATGCCATTTTAACATCTCTACCCTGGTGATTAGATACCAATTCACAGCTTACCATGTAACTTGGACAATTAACACCTGTCCCAGACTTCATGGCACCATGGATATGAAAATAGAATAGGATGGTTTCACAGCTGTTTACACTTCCCATAAATCTTTTCGACAATCCTCTGTCTTGACATGCCATGGTGATTGGGTTAAGGTGACTGGGTACCTATAAACACTGGAATATTTTCCTGACACTCATAAGAGTTGAGGCATCCACTAGGATGAGTGGGAGATGACACCAACATTACAGAACAAGTCTAGTTGTAAACACCTAACTAATACTAACCAATAGGGATGAGCTTGGGCTTGGCTGTGGTTCAGTCTGAAAGCATGTTCAGCCAAAGTCAGCTGTTATTCATGGGCCAGTGAGCTGCAGTTAGGGGTTTCCCTGTACGAACACAAAGGGATGGAGAGACATGTGACATCATTGACCTAATATGGCCATATGGTCAATGATGTCATGAGCACCCATACCCCTTTGTGTTCGTGCAGCGGTGGAGTGGGGGATCCCCACCTGCAGCTCATTGGCTACCTTCCAGGTTCAGCTGAACCCAAGCTCATCACTAGTAACCAAAGGGATTGCACTATTTTTGATTTGCACAAATTACTTTCTATAAAATCCAAATCAGGTGCACAAGCTGACTGATTTCTGATTGGATGCTTTAAAGCAGCCATCCTCAACTAGGGTTCCTCCAGAGGTTGTTAGCCTTTTTTTGAGCCACGGCTAGTTGATCTCCAATTTCATGGTGCTTGGATACTTCCAACGCTACTTGGCAGAGCCAGCTGCAGGACATCAATGATCTTCTAAGCTGCCTGTAAGTGGGACATCCTCGCCACCACTTATGGGGGACATTCTTTCCACTGGCCACCTATGTAGGGGATGTTTTGTCCACTCACCCCCAGTGAGTTTTATCAGGCGTTCCTTGTGACTTAAAAATTACTTCAAGGGTTCCTCTAGAGCAGTGTTTCTCAACTCCAGTCCTCATGTACCCCCAACAGGTCATGTTTTCAGGATTTCCATTATTTTGCACAGGTGATTTGATCAGTTTCACTGCCTTAGTAATTACCACAGCTGTTTCATCTGAGGGAAATCCTGAAAACATGACCTGTTGGGGGTCCATGAGGACTGGAGTTGAGAAACACTGCTCTAGAGTAAAAAGGCTGAGAAAGGCTGCTTTATAGTGTATGTTCACCTTTTCACAAAAAATGAAAAGGTGAAGTAACACAATCCACTCTCAACCTCTCCCCTACCCCCTTCCCCCAGCAGAATTTACCTCCATGGATGATGACCTTTCACTGCCCAAGCAGCCAATGCAGCAGTCTAGGGAAAGCCCCCTTCTTTCCTTAGGCACACTGGAAGAGACCAGAGCATTTCCAATTGGTCACAGCAATCACATGGAAGTGGTGATCAATCAGAATCACTCTGATCCTTCCCGACATCCTGAAGGAAAGAAGGGACAGGGACAGAAGACCGCAGCTTTCAAATCCCTGGACACCTGCACTGGCTGCATGGGCAGTAAAAGGTAATCACCCATGGAGGAAGGTGCATAGGGGTGGGGAGGGTCGAGGGTGTAAGTTCACTTTTTCCTTTTTTTGGGAAAAGATGAACGTAGGCTAGGTTTGCATCTACATTTGTGACCAAAGGCATGTGTGTTTCCACACATTTTCAGCGCGTTCCCGTGTCGCATGTAGGGCAGCCTATTCATTTCAATGGGCTATCTGTACCTAAAAAAAAACCACAGAAAAAAAGTCCCTGAGGCAAGGTTTACAATACTGAGTGTCGGGAACACGTGCAAAATCAGACACAGAAACACACCATCCTATATCAGATGGTGCGATGTGTTTTTGGAAAAGGGTCAGGGACTTATTTTTTGTGTTTCTCATGCATATGTCTATTGAAACGAATGGGCAGTCCTACAAGGAAAACGCAGGAAGCGCTGAAAATGCATGTAAGTGTGAACTTAGCCTGACCCTTTTCCAAAAACGCTCTGCACCTTCATTAACAGTTAATGGCACTGCCATACGTCTGCTACAGGACAACTGTGCATGCCAGGCTAGTTTTGTGTATGGCTAGGTACTGTGAACCTAGCCTTACACTTTCAGTTACTGCACTTTACCATTTGCTCTTTCACTAAACCCCTCGGAATCATATCCCATTTTATGAAAAGTATAAAATTTCCTTTAACAAGCAACATAATAAAGCCTATCAGTCCTGACTGAAAAATTTGATTCAGCATATTTCCTACCAGAAAAAATAGCTGCATATGGATAAATGTTAAAATAAATTCAATTTAAAATGTCTCCCACATTGGAGTCAGTCATGTAAACTTGATTGTTCTCAGCAGGCTGTCGTCTTCTCAGGCCTGTAGAGTTTTGTTGCAGCAGGGACCAAATTAGTCCCAGCAGGAGACGGAGTAGAGTTCTGTAGAGAATGCAATCTGCATGCTGTGACTGTTCAGCGGTTCTAGGTCATCCATATTCCAGCAGCTTCTGCTGCATCCGATTTCATTGCTGTCCTAGGGAGGGAGCCCACTGCTGTTTGTAGGATTCATGTATTGGTCTCATACTGTGTTGTTTTGGGGTTCTACTTTCTATATGCATGTGACACAGCGGCCAGAGGTCAGTATACTATTCTCAATAAACTGGCATGGGCAAGGCACATCCAGGACACCAGTGTGGCCGGCGCCATAGGCTTTCGGTAGCTGTCCAGCGATGAGGAGACGAACATAACAGGCACTTGCTATAACCAGGAGCTGCCGAGCCATTACCTGATGGGGAAAAACTAATGTTATACAGGCTTTATGAATGATAAGAAATCCCTAAAACTGAAAGCGAAACAAAACAGCTGAATGAATTCCCCCCAATTCTGCATCGCCATATTAAAGTGTTTCTAAACCCACAACAGTAAAATCAGTCTGTATATGCAGTAAAGCATGCTTGTTCTACTCACTGTGGAACCTAAGGGGGTAATCCTCTGCATTGTGTAAAAATGCGTTTGTTTGATCCTGACTTCCCTGATCCTCCCCTTCTTCCAGTGCCCTTCTCTTATCTCCTGATAAGACATATTCGGGCGGAGTCGGGCAAAAACATGCATGCTCTGTCACACCTGCCTAGGTGTGAACAGTTTTTTAGAGAAATGTATTTGCTAAAATGCCAGGTTTAAGAACCATACGAGGGACATTCCAGATACTCACTTCTGGTTCATCCCACAGGATCAGGGGGATCTTCTTGCTGCACAGCACAGGCTTGTCTCTGGATTCACTGGCCAGCAGGGGGCTCTCCTCCGTCACGGGGTCTTCTGTGCTGATATGTGCCAACATTGGGTCTGCAGGAACTTCTATGACAATAAATAGTTGCTCCAAGCAATGTCTGACATCCTCCTGCATGGTAAAAAAATACAATGTGACACCAAAAAGAAAAACATTAATACAGAGCGACAAAGTTAAAGAGCGGCCAAGATCGAGGGATATATTTACTGGCAGCATGTGCAGGAGAGGAGTACAGAGGATATGATATTGGGCAGTATATACAGGGTACGACTGGATAGGGTATGAGGGACTATGTGCAGGACAGGAGTTCAAAGGGTATGAGGACTATGTGCAGGGAGAGCAGTACAGAGGCTATGAGGGACTATGTGTAAGAGAGGGTAAGAGGGTATGAGGGACTATGTGCAGGAGAGCAGTACAGAGGCTATGTGTAAGAGAGGAGTAAAGAGGGTATGTGTATGTGTAAGAGAGGAGTAAAGAGGGTATGAGGGACTATGTGTAAGAGAGGAGTAAAGAGGGTATGAGGGACTATGTGTAGGAGAGCAGTACAGAGGGTATGAGGAACTATGTGTAAGAGAGGAGTAAGAGGGTATGAGGGACTTTGTGTAGGAGAGCAGTACGGAGGGTATGAGGAACTATGTGTAAGAGAGGAGTAAAGAGGGTATGAGGGACTTTGTGTAGGAGAACAGTACAGAGAGTATGAGGGACTATGTGCAGGAAAAGAGTACAGAGGGTATAAGGACTATGTGCAGGAGAGGAGTACAGAGGGTATGAGGGACTAAGTGCAGGAGAGGAGTACAGAGGATATGATATTGGGCAGTATATACAGGGTACGACTGGAGAGGGTATTATGCACTATGTGCAGGACAGGAGTTCAAAGGGTATGAGGGACTATGTGCAGGAGAGCAGTACAGAGGGTATGAGGAACTATGTGTAAGAGAGGAGTAAAGAGGGTATGAGGGACTTTGTGTAGGAGAGCAGTACAGAGGGTATGAGGAACTATGTGTAAGAGAGGAGTAAAGAGGAGATGAGGGACTTTGTGTAGGAGAGCAGTACAGAGAGTATGAGGGACTATGTTCAGGAAAAGAGTACAGAGGGTATAAGGGACTATGTGCAGGAGAGGAGTACAGAGGGTATGAGGGACTAAGTGCAGGAGAGGAGTACAGAAGGTATGAGTGACTATGTGCAGGAGAGGAGTACAGAGGGCATGAGGGACTATGTGCAGGAGAGGAGTACAGAGGGTATGAGGGACTATGTGCAGGAGAGGAGTACAGAGGGTATGAGTGACTATGTGCAGGAGAGGAGTACAGAGGGTATGTGGGACTATGTGCAGGAAAAGAGTACAGAGGGTATGAGTGACTATGTGCAGGAGAGGAGTACAGAGAGTATGAGGGACTATGTGCAGGAGAGGAGTACAGAGGGTATGAGGGACTATGTGCAGGAGAGGAGTACAGATGGTATGAGGGACTATGTGCAGGAAAAGAGTACAGAGGGTATGATGACTATGTGCTGGAGAGGAGTACAGAGAGTATGAGGGACTATGTGCAGAAAAGAGTACAGATGATGTGACTATGCACTGGAGAGGAGTACAGAGAGTATGAGGGACTATGTGCAGGAAAGGAGTACAGAGGGTATGAGGGACTATGTGCAGGAGAGTACAGAGGGTATGAGTGACTATGTGCAGGAGAGGAGTACAGAGGGTTTGAGGGACTATGTGTAAGAGAGGAGTAAAGAGGGTACGAAGGATTACGTGCAGATGAGGAGTACAGAGGGTATGACAGAAAGTGGTCCAACTGTAATCTGCAACATTTGCTTTCTGCTACATGCACTGCAAAACCTATAAGTGGATTTGAATCTTTTTAATAAAGCTGGTTGTATGGCTTTGCACTATGTGGCTTAATGAGAAACATTGGATTTCCAACTGAGGGGGCTGTGACCTATGTGGGAGTTTTTTTCTCACCTTGCTCATGAGAAATGTAGAATTACCCAAAGGGGAGAGATGTGATCTATAGGAACCTGAGAAAGTACATAAGCCTATGCTGAGCTGTCTGATATATACTCACCTGTCACTTTATTAGGTACACCTGTTCAACTGCTTGGTAACACAAATTGCTAATCAGCCAATCACATGCCAGCAACATAGTCCTTACAGGATGTCTTCAACTTACAAGCTGACCTCAATGTACTGTTTAATTGGGCAACTATGTGGCAAATGAGGTTCAATGTTGATAAATATAAGGTTATGCACTTGGGGGCTAAGAATATGCATGCATCATACATACTAAGGGGGGGGGGGGGAGTACATCTGGGGGAATCAATGGTGGAAAAGGATCTGGGGGTTCTGATAGATCACAAGCTTAATAATGGCATGCAATGCCAAGCTGCGGTTTCTAAAACGAGCAAAATCCTCTCTTGTATTAAGAGGTATAGACTCCAGAGAGAGAGATATCATTTCCCCCGGTACAAATCATTAGTAACACCTCATCTGGAATATGCAGCTCAGTTTTGGGCACCAATTCACAAAAAGAACATTAAGGAACTGGAGAAAGTACAGAGAAGGGCAACCCAACTGATAAGGGGCATGGAGGAGATCAGCTATGAGGAAAGATTAGAGGAACTGAATTTATTCTCTCTTGAGAAGAGGAGATTAAGGGGGGATATGATCTCCATGTATAATACATAAGGGGGGATATGATCACCATGTATAATACATAAGGGGGGATATAATCTCCATGTATAATACATAAGGGGGAATATGATCTCCATGTATAATACATAAGCGGAGATATGATCTCCATGTATAATACATAAGGGGGGGATATGATCTCCATGTATAATACATAAGGGGGATATGATCTCCATGTATAATACATAAGGGGGGATATGATCTCCATGTATAATACATAAGGGGGGGGATATGATCTCCATGTATAATACATAAGGGGGATATGATCTCCATGTATAATACATAAGGGGGGATATGATCTCCATGTATAATACATAAGGGGGATATGATCTCCATGTATAATACATAAGGGGGGATATGATCTCCATGTATAATACATAAGGGGGGATATGATCTCCATGTATAATACATAAGGGGGGATATGATCTCCATGTATAATACATAAGGGGGGATATGATCACCATGTATAATACATAAGGGGGATATGATCTCCATGTATAATACATAAGGGGGATATGATCTCCATGATATGATCTCCATATAATACATAAGGGGGATATGATCTCCATGTATAATACATAAGGGGGATATGATCTCCATGTATAATACATAAGGGGGGATATGATCTCCATGTATAATACATAAGGGGGGATATGATCTCCATGTATAATACATAAGGGGGATATGATCACCATGTATAATACATTAGGGGGGATATGATCACCATGTATAATACACAAGGAGGGATATGATCTCCATGTATAATACATAAGGGGGGATATGATCAACATGTATAATACATAAGGGGGATATGATCTCCATGTATAATACATAAGGGGAGGATATGATCTCCATGTATAATACATAAGGGGGGGATATGATCTCCATGTATAATACATAAGGGGGGGATATGATCTCCATGTATAATACATAAGGGGGGATATGATCTCCATGTATAATACATAAGGGGGGATATGATCTCCATGTATAATACATAAGGGGGATATGATCTCCATGTATAATACATAAGGGGGGATATGATCTCCATGTATAATACATAAGGGGGATATGATCACCATGTATAATACATAAGGGGGGATATGATCTCCATGTATAATACATAAGGGGGATATGATCTCCATGTATAACACATAAGGGGGGGATATGATCTCCATGTATAATACATAAGGGGGATATGATCTCCATGTATAATACATAAGGGGGATATGATCTCCATGTATAATACATAAGGGGGATATGATCTCCATGTATAATACATAAGGGGGGATATGATCACCATGTATAATACATAAGGGGGACATGATCTCCATGTATAATACATAAGGGGGGGATATGATCAACATGTATAATACATAAGGGGGGATATGATCACCATGTATAATACATAAGGGGGGATATGATCACCATGTATAATACATACGGGGGGATATGATCTCCATGTATAATATATAAGGGGGATATGATCTCCATGTATAATACATAAGGGGGATATGATCTCCATGTATAATACATAAGGGGGGATATGATCTCCATGTATAACACATAAGGGGGGATATGATCTCCATGTATAATACATAAGGGGGATATGATCACCATGTATTATACATAAGGGGGGATATGATCTCCATGTATAATACATAAGGGGGGATATGATCTCCATGTATAATACATAAGGGGGGATATGATCACCATGTATAATACATAAGGGGGATATGATCACCATGTATAATACATAAGGGGGGATATGATCACCATGTATAATACATAAGGGGGGATATGATCTCCATGTATAATACATAAGGGGGGATATGATCTCCATGTATAATACATAAGGGGGATATGATCTCCATGTAGAATACATAAGGGGGGATATGATCACCATGTATAATACATAAGGGGGATATGATCTCCATGTATAATACATAAGGGGGGATATGATCAACATGTATAATACATAAGGGGGGATATGATCAACATGTATAATACATAAGGGGGGATATGATCTCCATGTATAAATACATCAGTGGTTCATATAGTGAACTCGGTGTAGAGCTATTCACCCTGAGGTCATCACAAAGGAGAAGGGGGCACTCTTTACGTCTGGAGGAAAAGAAATGTAATCTCCAAACATGGAAAGGCTTCTTCACAGTGAGAGCTGTGAAAATGTGGAATAGACTCCCTCAAGAGTTGGTTCTGGCCAGCTCAGTGGATTGCTTCAAAAAAAGCCTGGATTCTTTCTTAGATACACAGAATATAACTGGATACTAACATTTATAGGTAAAGTTGATCCAGGGAATATCCGATTGCCTCACGAGGGATCAGGAAGGAATTTTTTTTCTCAGCAGGAGCAAATTGGATCATGCTT